CAATTTTTGTATTTTTCAAGTTTATGAGAAATACATAAACTAAAATTTATATATATATTTTTTGAAATTTTCTTTTTGCAACGAAATAAAGTAAAAATAGTTAAAATAGCTATACTAGACCCAATTTCACATATTCACGCTAAAAATGTGAAAATTCTCGGGGAGGGTCAAAAATCACGTGCTTACAGCGCCTATTGGTTTACTCTGGCTTTTTTGCTACTAAAAAGCTTGATGAAACGTCAGAAACTCAAGAAGGGTATGTTCTTACAGCTTCTTCTAAGCTGCTTTTGAAGAGTGAAATCCCAAATCTGTCTCCTTTTGTTAGAGCATTGGTAGATCCAGTTATGGTGATTCCATGGCAGTGTTTGGGAGATTGGTTTCTTGGAAATGAAGCCACCTCATTTGAAACAGTATATGGTGCACCCATGTGGGAATATTGTGATCAAAATCCAAGATACAACAAAGCTTTCAATGAAGCAATGTCTAGTGATTCCGAAATGACGAGTTTGGTAGTGAAGGACTGCAGAGAAATTTTTGAAGAGCTAGATTCCTTGGTTGATGTTGGAGGAGGCACTGGTGTTATGGCTAAGACTATTTTGGGTGCATTTCCTCGTATAAAATGCACTGTCTTAGACCTCCTTCATGTTGTTGCTAATATGCCAGAGATAGAAAATTTGAAATATGTGGGAGGTGACATGTTTCAGTCAATTCCCCCTGCTGATGCCTTTTTGTTTAAGGTAAGAAGCTGCTACTTTTGTTTTATGTTTTTTTTGTTTGTTTAACAATTGAGATATACTACGTCTGATCTCTAAGTCCGAGAATAGTAATCTTGGGTGGCTCATCACCTATAGCAATTACATAATGTTAATTTATGTTCCACACGGCCAAGGAAGCATCAGTTTTTAATTTTGTGAAACACAGGGACATTTACACATCTCTCTGTATATATAAAAGAGACTATTTACACAAGGTAATAGAAGAAAATTTTATGTAAATTTAGACCCCTAATGTAATATTTATTTTCTCCATATTTAACAAATTTCATGCCTTAGTGTTCCTGATTTCGGTCCTAACATATAGGTCATGGCCCATGGGATGTAATGTTTACAAAGGGTGATCTGTTTAATTCAGTTATTATTCATTTCTTGCTAGAAGCGAAAAAAATAGGCTATTGGAATCCCCTCTCTGATGTCCTCTTGTATGCTTTGTCACTCATGTCAAAGTGCCAATGTCTAACAAAACATTTTTAGAAAATTTGTCATATGGTTGAGAAAAGATGACTTCTAATTTGCAGATGATTATGCATGATTGGAGTGATGAGTATTGTGTGAAGATGCTAAAGAGATGTAGAGAAGCTATTTGTTTTCCAAGAAAATATTTTCTTGAAAAACATTTTCCACGGAAAACATTTTCTGTTATACCAAACACACCCTTAACTTGGGTAGTATTTGATATTTGGAATTAGTACTTGAGGAAGTTTAAAAGAAAAACAGAAAGCAAATACAGAGATGGATAGTTAAAAACAAACAAAAGGGCAGAACCTTTCCCTGAGTGATGGCTTAAAGGAAGAAAAAAAAAAGCGGATAATTCAATGCTAAAAGACAGGAAATTGAAGTCCTAGGATAAACATGAGAATAAGCTTAGAGCTGACATTTGAATGTCACACCTATTAAGCCAACAATGAACGTTATGACAAAGAAAAGAGTGTGTTGTCACAATTCTGAGCATGCCATCACCAATCCTAGTTCTATACATAAAGATAGCTCATGTATCACAATTGCCTAGTTTCAGCAACAATTGTAGAGAACTTCCTGAGCTAATAATGAAAACAGTTAATATTAATGAGTTGTTCAAAGCACAGGCTCATATCTACAAGCATGCATTTGGTTATGCAAATTCCATGGCCTTGAATTGTGCCATTCAATTTGGCATACCAGATATTATACATAACCATAAAAAACCAATCACTCTTCCTGAACTACTTTCAGCACTCAAACTTCCCTCATCAAAATCAACTGGCATTTATCGACTAATGTGCCTGTTGGTGCACTCTAGATTCTTTGCTACAGTAAAGATCGACGAAAACTCAGATACAGAAGGATATATTTTGACAACTCCTTCAAGGTTTCTTCTTGAGAGTGAAATCTCAATTGTCACCTTGTGTTAGAGTAATAGTTGATCCTATCCTTTTCAATACTTGGAAATTATTAGGTGAATGGTTTCGCAAGAAGAATGAAGAAGCAACGGCATTTGAGACAGCATATCGGTTATGTGAGAGTTTTGTGCAAAAAATCCAAGATTCGACAAAGTTTTCTATGAAAGAATGGCTAGTGATTCCCAAATGATGAGATTTATCGTGACGGAGTGCAAAAAAAGTATTTGAGGGGTTGAACTCATAGGTTGATGTTGGGGGGAACTGGGATTATAGATAAGACCATTTTGAAGGCATTTCCTCACTTGAAATGCACTGTCCTTGATCTTTCCCATGTTGTTGCTAACATACCAGACGATGAGAATTTAAGTTTTGTAGGAGGAGATATGTTTCAGTCGAGAATTTAAGTTTTGTAGGAGGAGATATGTTTCAGTCTTGTCATGACCCAAAATTCGTTAAAGGTCGTGATAGCGTCTAACACCGCTGTCAGACAAGCTAACAATACTTCATTAACTTAATTGCTCATTTAGTATTTTGAAATCATGATTTTTCCTTCAATTAAAAAATGAGAAATAAAATTTACAGAGTAAATGAGTAATATTTTCCCATCTACACTACTGAGCAACTCATAAGTACCCCCAAAACCCGGTGTCATAAGTGCATGAGCATCAACTAGTAAGATAAAATAAAATACAACATCTGTCCGGAATACAAATTAGACAGGAAAATACATAAGTAACTCTGAAGGAGACTCTGCTGGCTGCGGATCGAAATATGAAAATGCAGCTCACTTAAGTCCCTGCACTTAACCACGCCTCTGCTCTCAGAAGGTCACTAGACACATATGTACCCGTACAAAAGTATGCAGCGAGTATGGTATGAGTACGTAAATCAACGCGTACTCAGTAAGTATCTAGTCTAACCTCGAAGAAATAGTGACGAGGGGTCGACTCCGACACTTATGGGCTATAATAAAAATATCGATGATATGATTAAGCATGGATTGTATAGAGCGGCGGTAAACTCAATATCATGAAGTGAGTAAACAATTTTTTGTTCATAAGAAATTTCCAAATTCATTTTTTTTTTATCATTTACCATTTTATATCTCAGGCCAATGAAGTAATATCAACTATTATGAACTTCCAGAACAACCAAATCAATCATGAGCAAATCATGTCGAGGTCGTACAGCCCGGTCAAACATAAATATAAATTGTGCACTGTCGAGGGTCGAACAACATGAACTATAGATGCATCTATCTGTTACCGAGGCATTCGGCCTGCTCCACGACAAAAGAAAACACATAAAAACATCCAATTCAAGATTTATTAAGGGCTAATGTTCAAAGAAATATAAATTCTCATTAACGGTCAAATGACCTGTCCAAAACTCAAGTAGGTGAATTTTAACCTTTTACAACTTCCTTATTATGTTCCAATATATTTTTAAAAATTAAATTAACCAATAGGATGAAAACATTGCAAATATAACATGATTTGGGTCCTAGACTACCCGGACATAAGTATAATAGTAGCTACGCACGGACTCTCATCATCTCATGCGTACGTAGCCCCCACACTTAGAAGCACATATTAATTCAATTCACCTATGGGGTTAATTCACTCTTACAATGTTAGATAAGAGATTTACCTTGCTCCAAAGTTCCATAGACGACTCCCAAGCCTTTCCAACAACTCAAACCGATGTCCAACGCTCCAAAACTAGTCAATAAATGTGCAAAACTATAAATATATACTCCAATACTTATTAAAATTTGTAAATTTCCAACCCCGCTCGAAAAATTGATAAAATCAACCCTCGGGTCCACGAGCTCGGACTTCGAAAATTTTCAAAGATAAACATTATACATAACATCACGAACTCAAATATATAATTTATTCTCAATTCCATGCCCAAATTCGTGGTCAAAATTCAAAAATGACAATTTTTAGGTTTTCTACCAAAACACCAAATTTTCACTAATTTTCCATGTTAAAATCTTTATATTATCCATGTATTTAACTTGCAATAGGTGAGAATCACTTACCTTGACATAGATAATGAAGATGGAGCTCCAAAATCGCTCCTAGGTCGTCTCCCATGGATGAAATGAGATGAAATGATCCAAATCCGTTTTTGCAAACTTATAGACTGCCCAGGCGGGCCCTTCTTCGTGTTCGCGGGCCTCCCATCGCGTTTGCGATGAACAAAATTCTCAAAAAGCCATTTCCAAATTCTTCTCAGACAACCTCTAGTATAATGGTCATAGCGTTTTGTAATAAATTCCAAATGAAAATGGTTTAACTTTCTGAAAACTAAACACCAAGATCTACAACTTTTATGTTTTGTTCATCTCCCAATTTCTTAAAGATTTCTAGATATAAGCTACCAAAATCAGCCCTGTGCAACACAAATATTTCTTCATCTTTCCGGATAGACTGTAGTATACAAGCCATAACCTTTTGTATATAAATCCAAATACTAAATGGTTTACCTTTATGAAAACTAGACACAAAGGGCTACAACTTTTATTTTTGGATCTTCTCCAAATTCCTTATAAATTGCGAGATATGAGCCTCCGAAGTCAGACATGTACAACATAAATTTCCTTCTTCGTGAACGCAAGAGTCTCTTCGCAAACGCGAAGAACAAAATCCTAGAAGACAAATCCTTCTTCGCGGATGCGAGAGGATCCTCATGAACGCGAAGAACAAACCAGACATCAAAAAATAAGCATCCGAAGTAGCCCATTTTGATTTGAAACACACCCGAGGTCCCTGTCCAATCACACCAACCTATCCCAAAACATGACACAAACTTGAAATAATGAGGCCTCAAATCACATCAAACAACATCGAAATAATGAATCGCACCCCACTTCAAGCTTAATGAACTTTAGAACTTCAAACTTCAATGTTCGATGTCGAAACCTATCAAATCACATCTACTTGACCTCAAATTTTGCATACAAGTCACATTCGACATTACGCACCTACTCCAACTTTCGGAATCAGAATCCGACCCTGATATAAAAAATTCCACTTCCGGTCAAACTTCTCAAAAAATTTCAAATTTCTAACTTTTGCCAAATGACCCCAAAATGTCCTACGGACCTACTTCCGGACGCGCTCTCAATACCAAAATCACCATACATAGCAATTCCCAAACTCGAAATTCTAAAAGGACATCGATAACATCGAAATGCACTTCAACCCAAATTTATGAAATTCTTCCAAAATGCCAACTTCCACAATACGCGCCTAAACGCTCCGACACTTACTATGGGTTGTAAATAAAAATATAGATGACAAGATTAAGCATGGATTGTATAGAGCGGCGGTAAACTCAATATCATGAAGTAAGTAAACAATTCTTTATTCATAAGAAGTTTCCAAATTCATTTTTTAAATTTTTATCATTTACCATTTTATATCTCAGGACAATAAAGTAATATCAATTATTATGAATTTCTAGAACAACCAAATCAATCATGCGCAAATCATGACGAGGTCGTACTGCCCGATCCAACATAAATATAAACTATGCACTACCGAAGGTTGAATGACACAAACCATAGATGCATCTATCTGCTACCGAGGCGTTCAACTCGTTCCACAACAAGAGAAAATACATATAAATAACCAATTCAAGATTTATTAAGGGCTAATGTTTAAAGAAATATAAATTCTCATTAACGATCAAATGACCCGTCCAAAACTCAAGTAGGTGAATTTTAACCTTTTACAACTTCCTTATCATGTTCCAATATATTTTAAAAAATTAAATTAACCAATAGGATGCAAACATCGCATATATAACATGATTTGGGTCCTAGAGTACTCGGACATAAGCATAATAGTAGCTACGCACTGACTCTCATCATCTCATGCATACGTAGCCCCCACACTTAGAAGCACATATTAATTCAATTCACCTATGGGGTTAATTCCCTCTTACAAGGTTAGAAAAGAGACTTACCTCGCTCCGAAGTTCCATAACCGGCTCCCAAGCATTTCCACCAACTCAAACCGATGCCCAACGCTCCAAAACTAGTCAATAAATGTGCAAATCCATAAATAAATACACCAATAGTTATTAAAATCCAATTTACAATAATTTCCAACTTCGCTCGAAAAGTCGATAAAATCAACCCTCGGGCCCACGAGCCCGGATTTCGAAAATTTTCGAAGATAAACATTACCCATAGCATCACGAACTCAAATATATAATTTATTCTCAACTTCATGCCCAAATTCATGTTCAAAATTCAAAGATACCAATTTTTAGGTTTTCTACCAAAACACCAAATTTCCACTAATTTTTCATGAATTTCCATGTTAAAATCTATATATAATCCATGTATTTAACTTGAAATGGGTTGGAATCACTTACCTTGACATAGATGATGAAGCTCCAAAATCGCTCCAAGGTCGTCTCCCATTCGATGTCGAAACCTATCAAATCACGTCCGATTGACCTCAAACTTTGCACACAAGTCAGATTCGATATTACGACCCTAATCCAACTTTCGGAATCAGAATCCGATCCCAATATCAAAAAGTCCACTTCCGATCAAACTTCTCAGAAACCTTCAAATTTCTAACTTTCACCAAATGGCCCCAAAATGTCCTACGGACCTCCGAATCTACTTCCGGACGCGCTCTCAATATTAGAATCACCATATGAAGCTATTGCCAGACTCGGAATTTCAAACGGACTTTGATAACATTGAAATTCTCTTCAACCCAAATTTATGAAATTCTTCCAAAATTCTAACTTCTACAATAGGCGCCAAAGCGCTCCCGGATCATCCAAAACCCAATCCGAACATACGACCAAGTCCAAAATTATAATACGAACATGTTGGAACCTTCAAATCTCAATTCTGAGGTAGTTTACTCAAAAAATCACAACTTAGTAAATTTTCAAACTTAAAGCTTCCGAAATGAGAATTGTCTTTCCAAATTAACTCCGAACTTCCCGAAATTCAATTCCGGCCACACGTACAAGTC